TGAGGAATCGCCACACTGTCTTCCTCAATGGTTGAACTAATTTACACTCCCACCAACAGTGTAAAAGTGTTCCTTTTTCTCCACATCCTCTCCAGCATCTGTTGTCTCCAGATTTTTTAATGATCGCCATTCTAACTGGCGTGAGATGGTATCTCAATGTGGTTTTGATTTGCATCTCTCTGATGACCAGTGACGATGAGCATTTTTTCATATGATTGTTGGCCTCATATATGTCTTCTTTCGTAAAGTATCTGTTCATATCCTTTGCCCACTTTTGAATGGGCTTGTTTGTTTTTTTCCTATAAATCTGTTTTAGTTCTTTGTAAATTCTGGATATCAGCCCTTTGTCAGATGGGTAGACTGCGAAAATTTTTTCCCATTCTGTTGGTTGCCGATCCACTCTAGTGACTGTTTCTTTTGCCGTGCAGAAGCTGTGGAGTTTCATTAGGTCCCACTTGTCTATTTTGGCTTTTGTTGCCAATGCTTTTGGTGTTTTGTTCATGAAGTCCTTGCCTACTCCTATGTCCTGGATGGTTTTGCCTAGATTTCCTTCTAGGGTTTTTATGGTGCCAGGTCTTATGTTTAAGTCTTTAATCCATCTGGAGTTAATTTTGGTGTAAGGTGTCAGGAAGGGGTCCAGTTTCTGCTTTCTGCACATGGCTAGCCAGTTTTCCCAACACCATTTGTTAAACATGGAATCCTTGCCCCATTGCTTGTTTTTGTCAGGTTTATCAAAGATTGTATGGTTGTATGTATGTTGTGTTGCCTCCGGTGCCTCTGTTTTGTTCCATTGGTCTATATCTCTGTTTTGGTACCAGTACCATGCTGTTTTGATTACTGTAGCCTTGTAGTATAGTTTGAAATCCAGTAGTGTGATGCCCCCCGCTGTGTTCTTTTTGCTTAGAATTGACTTGGCTATGCGGGCTCTCTTTTGGTTCCATATAAAGTTCATGGTGGTTTTTTCCAGTTCTGTGAAGAAAGTCAATGGTAGCTTGATGGGGATAGCGTTGATTCTGTAAATTACTTTGGGCAGTATAGCCATTTTCATGATATTCATTCTTCCTAACCATGAACATGGAATGTTTCTCCATCTGTTTGTGTCCTCTCTGATTTTGTTGAGCAGTGGTTTGTAGTTCTCCTTGAAGAGGTCTCTTACGTTCCTTGTGAGTTGTATTCCAAGGTATTTTATTCTTTTTGTAGCAATTGCGAATGGCAGTTCGCTCTTGATTTGGTTTTCTTTAAGTCTGTTATTGGTGTAGACGAATGCTTGTGATTTTTGTACATTGATTTTATATCCTGAGACTTTGCTGAAGTTGTTTATCAGTTTCAGGAGTTTTTGGGCTGAGGCGATGGGGTCTTCTAGGTATACTATCATGTCGTCTGCAAATAGAGACAATTTGGCTTCCACCTTTCCTATTTGAATACCCTTTATTTCTTTTTCTTGCCTGATTGCTCTGGCTAGAACTTCCAGTACTATATTGAATAGGAGTAGTGAGAGAGGGCATCCTTGTCTAGTGCCAGATTTTAAAGGGAATGCTTCCAGTTTTTGCCCATTCAGTATGATATTGGCTGTTGGTTTGTCATAAATAGCTTTTATTACTTTGAGATACGTTCCATCGATACCGAGTTTATTGAGGGTTTTTAGCATAAAGGGCTGTTGAATTTTGTCAAATGCCTTCTCTGCGTCAATTGAGATAATCATGTGGTTTTTGTTTTTGGTTCTGTTTATGTGGTGAATTACGTTGATAGACTTCCGTATGTTGAACCAGCCTTGCATCCCCGGGATGAATCCTACTTGATCATGATGAATAAGTTTTTTGATTTGCTGTTGCAATCGGCTTGCCAATATTTTATTGAAGATTTTTGCATCTATGTTCATCATGGATATTGGCCTGAAGTTTTCTTTTCTCGTTGGATCTCTGCCGGGTTTTGGTATCAGGATGATGTTGGTCTCATAAAATGATTTGGGAAGGATTCCCTCTTTTTGGATTGTTTGAAATAGTTTTAGAAGGAATGGTACCAGCTCCTCCTTGTGTGTCTGGTAGAATTCGGCTGTGAACCCGTCTGGACCTGGGCTTTTTTTGTGTGGTAGGCTTTTAATTGCTGCCTCAACTTCAGACCTTGTTATTGGTTTATTCATAGTTTCAGCTTCCTCCTGGTTTAGGCTTGGGAGGACACAGGAGTCCAGGAATTTATCCATTTCTTCCAGGTTTACTAGTTTATGTGCATAGAGTTGTTTGTAATATTCTCTGATGATGGTTTGAATTTCTGTGGAATCTGTGGTGATTTCCCCTTTATCGTTTTTTATTGCATCTATTTGGTTGTTCTCTCTTTTATTTTTAATCAATCTGGCTAGTGGTCTATTTTGTTGATCTTTTGAAAAAACCAGCTCTTGGATGTATTGATTTTTTGAAGGGTTTTTCGTGTCTAAATCTCCTTCAGCTCAGCTCTGATCTTAGTTATTTCTTGTCTTCTGCTGGGTTTTGAGTTTTTTTGATCTTGCTCCTCTAGCTCTTTCAATTTTGACGATAGGGTGTCAATTTTGGATCTCTCCATTCTCCTCATATGGGCACTTATTGCTATATACTTTCTTCTAGAGACTGCTTTAAATGTGTCCCAGAGGTTCTGGCAAGTTGTGTCTTTGTTCTCATTGGTTTCGAAGAACTTCTTTATTTCTGCCTTCATTTCGTTGTTTACCCAGTCAACATTCAAGAGCCAGTTGTTCAGTTTCCATGAAGCTGTGCGGTTCTGGGTCGGTTTCTGAATTCTGAGTTCTAACTTGATTGCACTATGGTCTGAGAGGCTGTTTGTTATGATTTCAGTTGTTTTGCATTTGTTGAGCAGTGCTTTACTTCCAATTATGTGGTCAATTTTAGAGTAGGTGTGATGTGGTGCTGAGAAGAATGTATATTCTGTGGATTTGGGGTGGAGAGTTCTGTAAATGTCTATCAGGTTTGCTTGCTCCAGGTCTGAGTTCAAGCCCTGGATATCCTTGTTGATTTTCTGTCTGGTTGATCTGTCTAATATTGACAGTGGAGTGTTAAAGTCTCCCACTATTATTGTGTGGGAGTCTAAGTCCTTTTGTAAGTCATTAAGAACTTGCCTTATGTATCTGGGTGCTCCTGCATTGGGTCCATATATGTTTAGGATCGTTAGCTCTTCTTGTTGTATTGATCCTTTTACCATTATGTAATGGCCTTCTTTGTCTCTTTTGATCTTTGTTGCTTTAAAGTCTATTTTATCAGAGATGAGAATTGCAACTCCTGCTTTTTTTTGCTTTCCATTAGCTTGGTAAATCTTCCTCCATCCCTTTATTTTGAGCCTTTGTGTATCCTTGCATGTGAGATGGGTTTCCTGGATACAGCACACTGATGGGTTTTGAATTTTTAATCCAATTTGCCAGTCTGTGTCTTTTGATTGGTGCATTTAGTCCATTTACATTTAGGGTTAATATTGTTATGTGTGAATTTGATACTGCCATTTTGATGCTAAGTGGCTGTTTTGCCCGTTAGTTGTTGTAGATTCTTTATTATGTTGAAGCTCTTTAGCATTCAGTGTGATTTTGGAATGGCTGGTACTGGTTGATCCTTTCTATGTATAGTGCCTCTTTTAGGAGCTCTTGTAAAGCAGGCCTGGTGGTGACAAAATCTCTGAGTACTTGCTTGTTCGCAAAGGATTTTATTTTTCCTTCACTTCTGAAGCTCAGTTTGGCTGGATATGAAATTCTGGGTTGAAAGTTCTTTTCTTTAAGAATGTTGAATATTGGCCCCCACTCTCTTCTGGCTTGCAGTGTTTCTGCCGAGAGATCTGCTGTGAGTCTGATGGGCTTCCCTTTGTGGGTGACCTGACCTTTCTCTCTGGCTGCCCTTAGTATTCTCTCCTTTATTTCAACCCTGTTGAATCTGACGATTATGTCCCTTGGGGTTGCTCTTCTTGCAGAATATCTTTGTGGTGTTCTCTGTATTTCCTGCAATTGAGTGTTGGCCTGTCTTGCTAGGTGGGCGAAATTTTCCTGGATGATGTCCTGAAGAGTATTTTCCAGCTTGGATTCATTCTCTTTGTCCCCTTCTGGTACACCTATCAAACGTAGGTTAGGTCTTTTCACATAGTCCCACATTTCTTGGAGACTTTGTTCATTCCTTTTTGCGCTTTTTTTCTCTGATCTTGGTTTCTCGTTTTATTTCATTGAGTTGGTCTTCGACTTCAGATATTCTTTCCTCTGCTTGGTCAATTCGGCTATTGAAACTTGTGTTTGCTTCGCGAAGCTCTCGTATTGTGTTTTTCAGCTCCTTTAATTCATTCATATTCCTCTCTAAGTTATCCATTCTTGTTATCATTTCCTCGAATCTTTTTTCAAATCTTTTTTCAAGGTTCTTAGTTTCTTTGCATTGATTTAATACATGATCTTTTAGCTCACAAAAGTTTCTCAATATCTATCTTCTGAAGTCTAATTCTGTCATTTCGTCACAGTCATTCTCCGTCCAGCTTTGTTCCCTTGCTGGTGAGGAGTTTTGGTCCTTTCTAGGAAGCGAGGTGTTCTGGTTTCGGGTGTTTTCCTCCTATTTGCGCTGGTTTCTTCCCATCTTTGTGGATTTTTCCGCTGGTTGTCTGCGTAGTTGCTGACTTTTCGATTGGGTCATTTGCGGATTCAACACAAGCTCCAATCCTGGGTTGTTCTCACAGCGCCATCTTGAGCACTGCTCTGTATTCACTTTATTTTTAAGGTCAAGAATGAGAAAGCAGCTCTTCTAGAAAATTTAAAAATCAATTTTACCCAAATGCAGGACTAATGAGTGTTCATAAATGATGTAATGAGGTCTTTTCAAACAAAATGTATACATCATGTTAATGAGAAATAACTAGAAGAAAAAAGATGTGAAACATTAGAATGTAATAATGGAAAAGTATAAAAAAGCTAAAACTTCCATTAAGTGTACCACATTTCTACTTATGTATGGAGAATGGCTATTCATCTGACATAGCAAAAGCAGCCTGCTTACCAGTCATTGTTACAACATCATCTTTATGCTCTTCAGCCATTTCCTGAACATGGACTTCTGAGTTCACGTCAACCTCTTTCCCTGATAACTGTAAATAAGCTTGAAGAGAAGATGGGACCTTGACAATAATAGAACCTGTAATAGATGAAAAGGAGAGCTTAGTTAACATAAAGAAATCAAAAGTATTAGAGTCTATTATAAATTTGACTAAAAGGGTAGCCTTGCTCCTGGGACACTGTTTTTACTCCTCAGCTTACGATATTTATTTAAACCTTTTCCTTATTCCCAGGTCCCCCAAGTTTCCTTACTCTCAAGGCATTCACAGTTAACTTCTGTCAAGAATATGGGTTATTAGGACATTATTAACTTCTAGTTCTTCTTTTGCGAATAGTCCTACCCAGCTCATCCACCACCAGAAAGTGAATAGTTTACTATGTAGTTTATAGATATGTAGCCTACCATTTAGCATTTAATATGAGCCAGACCCCTAATTACATTATGTCTTAATCCCCATATTAACTCTATGAGGTATTAATTAATTAATTAATTAATTAATTATTTTTTGAGACAAAGTTTTGCTCTTGTCACCTAGGCTGGAGTATAATGGTTTGATCTCGGCTCACCACAACCTCCGCCTCCTGGGTTCAAGCAACTCTCCTGCCTCAGCCTCCCGAGTAGCTGGGTTTATAGGCATGTGCCACCACGCCTGGCTAATTTTGTATTTTTAATAGAGACGGGGTTTCTCCATGTTGGTCAGGCTGGTCTTGAACTCCCAACTACAGGTGATCCGCCCGCCTCAACCTCCCAAAGTTCTGGGATTATAGGTGTGAGCCACCGCACTGGGCCCTAAGAGGTATTATTATCATCCCAGTTTTACAGATAAGAACTTGTTCAAGTTCCTACTAGTGCTAGTGCTGGAACCTAGATTCAGCTCAATAATGCTTGCATGGTATTTCACACACTACTGCCTCATCTACTACAGGACTTGTGACCTCATCATTATAACAAAACTAGGAAACTGAGCTCTAGTGCTTTCAGTTATGCCTTGTGTGTAACAAAAAATAACAATAGAAAAGGATTATTTGAATTCCAACTCACTAACGTTTCTTTTGAGTGGATTACAAGCTTTTGGATACCTAAGGTGAGACACTCAACCTGTATTTCCATACAATCTGGCTATCATTCAAGTTTCTAAAGGAGTAAATCAGAAAACGTACTCTGTTAGGTATAGAGTCATTTTTCAAAACAATTATGTGGGTTGCAGTGTATATTCACTTACACATTCTTATTTCAGAAGTTTTTCTTTGTTTTTCATCAAATAAAGTAAGTAAAAGGTCCCTGCCATAAAACATTAACCCCATCTCTGTGGACAAAGATGGTCAGGATGATACCCATTGTGAATATTATAAAGATTCCTTGAGAATGCATTTGCTTTTGAGTCACAGTTTTCCTTCCAATTTGGCTAACATCAGCTTAAGTGTCCTTAAGTAATTTCATATTTTCTGAGTCTTCCTTTGAGCTGGAAGTTTGAGATAAACATGATGAACTCTTGTATTTACTTCTCAAAAAAAATTAGGGAACAATGCACATCACTACACTAGTTTATTAAGAAATAAATTGCAGCCGGGCACAGTGGCTCACAGCTGTAATCCCAGCACTTTGGAAGGCCAAGGTAGGTGGATTGCTTGAGCTCAGGAGTTTGAGACCAGCCTGGGCTACATGGCGAAACTCTGTCGTTATCCCCCACTCCCCAAAAAACACTGGGTGTGGTGGTGCAATCTGTAGTCTCATCTACCTGGAAGTCTAACCTCCCAAGCTTAGGTGATCCTGACAAGGCTACAGTGAGCCATGAGTTTGCCGCTGGACTCCAGCCTGGGTGACAGAGTGGGACCCTGTCTCAAAAACAAAAACAAAAAACCAAACTGCTTTCCAGGGTTCAAATATAAGCTTCAGACAGGAGATTCCCATAACAACATATGAGGGCTTTAGGAAAAACAAAACAAAAACAACCCTGGAAGATTTCAGGATAAACAGAAGACACATTTTTCTACTAAACATACTTTGAAAAGTAGAAAATTGTGGATTTAAAAAACTGTTTTCTAGGACTTGATATCTCTAAATTTATCAAGTTTCCAATGTGCTAATTTTATGAACACTTTTTCTGTTCTTAAATATATAACATGATCTTAGATTTTTGAGATTTTAAAAATGTTAAGCAACACAAAGAGTTCTACCCCATCTCCCTCCACATCTTTAAAAGCCAAAAATCACCACTACCAAAACTCCATTACTGTTTGTGAATGAAGAATTTTCATGACTTCCTAATGTTCCATCTTTAACATTAACTTTTTTAGAAAGGAGAGCTCTTTTTCTGTTCTTTAACCTCTTTTCAGTTCATAAACTTCTTCATGGTTGACATCAGTGCTATCCTCTTAAAAATTCAAATGTGGAGGCTGGGGGTGGTGGCTCACACCTATAATTCCAGCACTTTGGGAGGCTGAGGTGGGCAAATCAGGAGGTCAGGAGATTGAGACCATCCTGGCCAAGATGGTAACCCTGTCTCTACTAAAAATACAAAAATTAGCCAGGCGTGGTAGTGCACACCTGTAATCTCAGCTACTTGGGAGGCTGAGGCAGGAGAATGGCTTGAATGCAGGAGGCAGACATTGCAGTGAGCAGAGACTGCACCACTGCATTCCAGCCTGGCAACAGAGCAAGACTCTGTGTCAAAAAAAAAAAAAAAATTCAAATGTGAACTAACAGCACCATTTGTTGGAGGCATATTATGTTAAAATTAGTGATTTTCCAAAGGACAAAATGTTAAGTAGAAAAGTCAGTACTCAGATTCAGGTGTGACTCCCAGACCCAAGCATAGCCTTTCTGAATGAATTAATAAGGTTACTGTATTAATTTTCATAAGGTGAAAGAAAACAAGCATTTTATATTTTTCCACATCACAAAATGGTGAAGACCTAAGAAACTCAAGTGTCTGGCTCTGAATACTGCAGCAAGACAGTGGTAGAGTTGGAATGGATTCCAGATGTCTTTGCTAAGACATTAAGAAAGAGTACTGAATAACTTTCCATTACTCTAAAAAGTTACTGTTCCCAAGTGTATTAAGAATTCAGAGATCTAAAGTAAGACAGAAGTCTTTGTTTTCAGTTGTCTTTAAGCTTCTGCCAGTAACGTGGTCTGAGTAGAAGAAAACATAAAACTAATACTAATCAAATTTTGCAACATCAAATACTATTTCAATAGGTTGCTGGAACAATATTCCAAATAATACTAAAAAATATTTTAAGTGACTAAAGACTAACAATCTTCAAAAGTTTTACAGTTTTCTGTTTGTTTTATTTTGCCTACTATGCAAAACATTAAATAACTTTTATGTAAGAGCTGCTTATTCAAAACTTTGTTCTTACTCTGTTCCTAGTTATATTAACAATATATGCCTTTTCTCCTTGGATCTTTGTAATAACAGAGTATTTACAGGCCATTTATAATTTACCCTGAAAAGTATTACCTGAACCTCTTAGATTTAGCAAGGACATAAGTTTATCCTATTTTAAAGGGAGAAAATATGATATTGAGAAATCATACTGGTGTGTCAGCAGTAACTGAGGTTTCAGACCTCTGTGTTTTGCAGTTTTGACACTGACAAAAGATTCTGGAGACGGATTTAAAAAAAAAACTATTAAATCAACATGGTAAAGAAACTACTAATAGCAGGAACTATCAGTCTTTGTGAGGAAATATTTTCCTTGTTAAACATCTGGCCAACATGCAAGAGCTTCTTGACTATTTTTAATTTTTTTTATACAGATCTATAGTTAATAACTTTCTGCATCCAAGCCACTTTAGCTCCTATGGCCAAGCTACTTCACCCAAGCCACTTGTCCATACATATGTGTTCATCCACATGTGCAGAAGAACAGATGAATTCATATTTAGCTTTCAGATAAATGAAAAGTATACCATTTTAAGTGGAAGAATTGAACTCAGAATAAGTTCTGTCAGAAGTTAAATTATAGATAGAGATACATCATAAGTCTTGATACATCAAGAGACTAAATACTCACTTTAGAGGACCTCCCTGTGTGATACCTTTATTTCAGGATCACACTTTGAAAACTGTTACTCTACACTGATTGCCTGAGAAGTTCCTTTTACAGGCTGGCAGAAAAGCTTGTCTTTAGTGTATGGCAGCATTTTTCCTTCAAAGATTATTCTATTTCAGAATAGACTAAACCGAAAAATCCACAGAGTAACATTTAAAAATTCCATAATAACAGTCAAAATATTACATTTTTGTTTGTACTACAAAGGGAAAGATAGTCTGCATGGCCATCTATCCCAAAAGTTGTAAAGATCATTGGTCTAGAGAGCTAGCAGACCAGTGCCTTGAAATCAGGATCTATCAGAAGATATTCTCTTGAAATCACTATGTTAGTATAGATAATTTGACCATCTGTTTCCTGAGTGTTACATAAACCTTCTTTACTTCGTATGTCAAGATAAAACATTCCAGTTGACTAACCTTTATGGGATTTCAATTCCACTTTCCCCAGTTGGCTGACATAAACATCTATGGCACCCTGATGAGTTGAGGCTTTTAGACATCCAGAAGATGAATCTGGGAAGAAGAAAAAACCCTAAGTAAAATCATTGTTACTTAATAAATGGAATTATAAACTTGAAATAAAAGGCTCTGCTTTAGCATTAGGATAAGGGGCTAAGAATCTTGGAAGGTTTAGTATTTTCCTTATAACAATACCATTGTACTGAAATGTAAACACTATCAAAAATCTAGAAATCTATTTCTTTTTTTTTTTCCTTTTTGGAGATGGGGTCTCACTATGTTGACCAGGCTGGTCTTGAACTCCAGGCCTCAAGTGATCCTCCCATCTTGGCCTTCCAAAGTGCTGGGATTACAGGCACCAGCCACCATGCCTGGCCTTAGAAATCTATTAAACTAGGCAACTAATTAAAAAATCTCTACATGAACCTGAATAACTTATCTCTAAACATTTACTCTAAAACTTAATGAGTAGGAAGGACAGTCTGCAAGTAATGGATCTTTGACCACTAAGCATCATTGATATATCTGGTTTATTATCATGTTGATACATTTAGTAAGCTTTCAATAATTACCAAAGAATTCTATTTCGTGTATAGTCACATACAAGCTGTAGCAAGGTTAACAGAAATCAAAACCTCTCATAATTTCTCCTTCTAGCAAATTTGCTAGCACTAAGAAATCCTCCTAATAGTAAAAGATTACCCTACATAAAGTTGTTGCATTTCTTTTTTTTCTTTTTTTTAGAGATATGGTCTTGCTATGTTGCCCAGGCTGTTCTCTGACTCCTGGGCTCAAGCAATACTCCTGAGATTACAGGCACAAGCCACTGTTCCTGGCTTATTGCATTTCTTTAAGGGGTAGAAAGGCAGGGTGGAATAATTTAAAGAGTAGATGAAGCTTGTTTATATCTAATAGTTCTAGTTCTTTTTAAGTTTCTGGAATTGAACAGGTACTTTAAGTGAGGATAAGAAAATAATTAAGGTAACCCTGATTTGACATTCAAATTTCCCTGTCATCGATGACCCCAGTTTTCAATTGGCCAGTATTTCAAGTTCAAGGGAAAACAGTCAGAAATAAGGAAGTAAAGAAATGAACTTCAGGAGTCAGTGATAAGTGGTTTTCCCTTCTTCTCTTTCTCCCATGGCAGTTGAACATTTAATTTAATATTCTGTCTGACTGCCTGGAGAAGGCCAAAGCATATTCTTTTCAGAGAGGCCTCTTAAAAAGCATATTTTATCAAAAGGTTTTATTACTTCAAAGTGGAAACAAAGTAGGGAGTGTGGTAAAAATTGTGCCAAAAATTATACTTTTTGCAAAACATAGAAAACATTTGTGTGTGTGTATGTATATATATGGGAGCCAACATTTTTCTTTTAAAAAAATGTAAATGAATTCAAACACAATAAATTTGGAATAAACTGTTTAAAATCTGGCTCCAAGATCATTTATAATAATGTATGTTCAATTTATACTGGAAAATGTCCTTTATCAGATCCAATTTATTTAGTTTTCAAGTGTCAAAAGTATACACTGACATTGGGAAATAAAACCACTAGAGATAAATGACAGAGAATAGCTGGACAAAGATGAACATTTCACTTTTTAAGTACCAACAGAAACTCCTTTTTAAACCTCTTATTGCATCCTAAAAGAAGCCAAATAAAAAAAATTACGTTATGCTAAAAAAAAAAAAAAGAAAAGAAAAGTGGAATACACAATATGCATATTACTCCAGGTTGAACAAAGTAAAATAGCTGAAACACTAGTTTGATTTCTTGTTTTCTCAAGAATGGAAAAAAACCACACAAGATTCTTATGTGGCTCATAAACAATATTTTCATATATTTTCCCCCAAGGAGAAATAAATGACAGCTAAACAATTATATCCTAAGCCACAAAGTAATTCTATCCTCATGTTATCTGTATTGATCTCTAATGATGGCTCATCCCTTGAAGACTGTCAAAAACTAAAAAGTCAAGATGTGTTCAAAAAAGAAGGCAAAGGTGATATTTTAAAACTATGCAGCAAAATAAGCCCTATTTTTTTGTTTAACACAAATTATCAGAACTAAAATTAATTTTCGAGAGTAAAATTAAGACTTCATCCAAAGAATTTCATTTTTTTGGAGTTTACATAATGAAGACATAGATCTGGGAGAAAGTCCTACAGATCTAATGTACAGCCTAGTGACTGTAATTAACAATACTGTACTGTGTACTTGAAATTTGCTAAGAGAGTAAATCTTAAACATTTTCATCATACACACATATAAAATGGTAATGAGGTGAAGTGATAACTAAACAGATTGTGGAAATCATTTCACAACATATATGTATATCATATATCAAATCATTATATTGCATGTACACCTTAAATATATATGGTTTTGTCAGTTATATCTCAGTAAAGACAGCAAAAGCAAACACACACACACACACACACAAAAGTAGCCAAAATAAATCTACATTGTAATATGTTTAGCTCAGTGCTTAGCACATGAGAACTGAGTAAATGATAGCTATTTTAAAGAAAGGGCCATGTGTGGTAGCTTATACCTTTAATTCCAGCACTTTGGGAGGCTGAGGCAGGAGAACTGCTTGAAGCCAAGCATTTGAGACAAGTACGGGCAACAAAGCAAGACCTTGTCTCTCTTTTTTAAAATAGCAAAATAAATAAATAAAATTTTAAAAGAAAGATCAATGAGTATAGTTGGTCACATTAATAAACTAAAAGAAAAAAATGATCATTTCAATAAATTCAGAAAATGTATTTGACAAAATTCAACACCCATTCATGATTAAAGAAAATTAAAAAAGAAACTTTAAGCAAACAAGTAATAAAAGATAACTCTCCCAATCTGATAAAAAGGCATCTGTTAAAAACCTATAGCTTACATCACACTTAATGATAAAATATTGAATGCATTCCCCCTAATATTGGGGACAAGGATAGAGCAAGGAATCCCTCTCTCATTACCACAATTCAACATTATACTGAAGTTCATAGCTAGCCTGATAAGGCAAGAAAAATAAATAAATGTAATGAAGATTGGAAGGAAAGAGGTAAAACTATATTTGCAGATGAAAATGTCTGCTTAGCTAGAAAAGGATTCTAGATTCAAGAAAACCGCTATTAGAATGAGTGAATTTAGCAAGGTCACAAGATACAAGGTCCATACATAAAAATCATTTGTATTTACATATATCATCAGTAGACAATTAGCAATGTTTTTAAAAATTTCTCATTTACAACAGTGTTAAAAACACAAATGAATTTAACAAAAAATGTGCCAGACCTCTATGCTGAAAATTACAAAACAATGCTGAGAAATATTAAAGAAGATCTAAATGGACAGATCTACCAACCATGTTCATTAATTGGAAGATTCACTGTGATTCAGTGTAATCCCAAACATAATCACAACTGTATCTTTTGGTAGAAATTGACTGGAAATCAAAGGACCTATCATAGCCAAAGCAATCTTTAAAAGGAACAAATTTGGAAGACTTCAATTACCTGATTTACAGACTTACCAAAGTTACAGTAGTCATGATATTGTGGCCCTGGCATAATGTTCTCCAAATAAATCAGTGAATTAGGAAAAAGAGATATGACATTGAGCCACACTTATATGGTCATTTGATTTTAGACAAGGATACTAAAGTAATCCATCAGAGAAAGGAAGTTTTCTTCAACAAATGGTGATATAACAATTAGATATCCATATGGAAAAAAATAAACCTTTACTCCTGACTTATATTAAACACAAAAAATTGAGATGGATCAAAGATAAAAGCAAAAAATTTTAAGCTTCTGAAAGAAAACATAGACTATCTTCATGTTTGAAACTAGACTACAATTTCTTAGGATCTCTAAAAATAATTGGTAAATTATGCTTCATCAAAATTAAAATCATCTTCTCAAGAAAATACACCATTAAGAAATGAGCAGGCAAGCCAAAGACTGAGAGAAAATATTAAAAGACAATATCTAACAAAGGACTTATATAGCATATACAAAGAAGTACAACTTAAAGACAATTGAAAAATAAGTGGGCAAAAGATCTCAAAGACTAAAACTTCATAAAGGAAGATATACTAATGACCAATAAGCACATTAAAAAGTGCTGAACAGGCTGGGCACGGTGGCTCACACCTGTAATCCCAGCATTCTGGGAGGCCGAGGCGGGCAGATCATGAGGTCGGAAGTTGGAGACCAGCCTGGCCAACATAGTTAAACCCCATCTCTACCAAAAAATACAAAAAATTAGTTGGGTGTGGTGGTATATACTGTAATCCCAGCTGCTCAGGAGGCTGAGGCAGGAGAATCAAGTGAACCCAGGAAGTGGAAGTTGCAGTGAGCCGAGATCATGCCATTGCACTCCAGCCTCAGAAACAGTGTGAGGCTCCATCTCGATTAAAAAAAAAAAAAAAAAAAAGAAACAATAACAAAAAGTGCTGAACATTATTTGTCATTAGGGAAATTAAATTAATAACAGAGATCTACCACTATATACACACAAACACTGGCAAAATTTTTAAACAGACAATAATAAATGTTGATGAGGATGTGGAGCCACTCAAATTCTCATACATTGTTGATCAAAGTATAAAGTGAAACTTTGGGAAAAAGTCTAGTAGTTTATCATAAAGTTAAACATAGAACCTACCTATTAAACTCAACAACTCCATAACTAAGTATTTAGCCAAGAGGGAAAAAAATATATCTATATCCATAAAATGACTTACACTAGTATGTTCACAGCAGCTTTATTTACAGTTGCCAAAAATTAGAAACAGCTCAGGTGTTCATCAGCAGTAGAATGAACAAATTAAGATTTCCAATAGCCTGCTTTCACTTCTGAACCCTTCTGGTACATTATGAAATAAAAGCTATGTTGTTCTTTTAAAATAAAACTTATATATCACTTCTCTAACATCCTATTGTAGTTGGAATAAAGTCTGAACTCTTACCCTGTCCACAAAGTCCTAAGATCTACCATTACTTACCTCATAACCTACCACTTTCCCCATCAGCCAGCCTTCTATCCCTTGAAAATAATAAACTTCCATTTTCAAGGCCTGCACTTGCTGTTTCTCTAGGGAGCCCTGTATCCAGAATTACATAACTCTCATTATTCTGGCCTTAGTTCAAATGTACCCTCTCCAGACCACCCCCAATTGTCTAACTAAAGTCATTTTCTTTTCCCCAACATCTATTCATACCGTTTCTTATTTATTCATTGTAGTTACCACAGACCAAAATTACCTTTTGGTATTTATATGCTTGTTGTCTTTCTTCCCAGGGCTCAGAGAAGGTGAGGTCTCTGAGCACAGAAACTATGTCCTATTGACCTGTTCCCTAGTACCTAGAAGAACTCTTAATACATGGCAGGTACTCAAAAAATACATGTTGACTAACTAGTTACTGGTATCCATAAGGTTGTCTTCAAATGTTAACACATTTGGAGACCAATAAACAGTGACATTATTTATATTATTCTTTCAAAGACTTAATTTATATATTTGAAGAAATCAAGAAATTTATAACATCTTCTTTTCTTTTTTACAGAGAATTTTAGCAAGAAATATACCACATTTCTTAATACCAGCTCAGATAATTTATTTCCCAGTAGACATAATTAGTACATTGGTTCTGTCTATATTTGATTTGTGATCCTGTCAAGTTCATCAGTTAAACTGTAGACTTCATTTATTCTAATAAAGTCATTACAAATATACCTATTTTTAAAAGTGGGCAAAATAGGCCAACTAGTAACTTAGCACATACCTACTGTGATGTTACCCATCTTGCTTTGTAATGTTATATTACCTGTAAAAAAAGAAAAAGATACTTTTATGTACTAGAGATAATCTAGAAAGAAACTGTGATATATAGCATTGATAAAACATGGTTGAATATCTACAATGTTATTTTTGTTAGCAGTTTTTCCCAATATCACAAATCCAGTCAAAAATTTAGCTGTAGTTCTGAAAGAACTAGCTTTAGTTATCTCTGCAAACTTTCTTCCTCTACCACCAAACCTTTAGCTTTTGTAGCATAACTATAAATCACCATACCTGCTGCACAGAGGAAAAACAATACTTCTAAAACTCTTAAGTGAAATAAACTACTGAAACATACTCACTATACATTTCCAACCTAAATATTAATGTATTTATCAGATTGCACAAAGCCACATTTTCAACCAAATAACACTAAAATATGGTATGAAAAAAGAATTACTTTTATTTCTCAGGCTACTTGCCATGTCTATTAGATTAAAGTAGTTTCTGGGCCAAGAATTAAAGTGGTTTGAGATAAGAATAATGAATACATGAAGGTATAACAAACAAAACAGAACAAAGACGCTTCAAAGGTTTCCATCTTGTAGTGAAAATGTTTTCTGTGATAAGTATGGAATATTGCGACCATTCTTCCCAGCTCCTTTCCTCTAATACCAAAAGTAGTAAGTTTCTTCTTCATATGTATGTTTGTATGTATAAGTATTCCTAGAATCAGGAACTCATATTTATTCCACTGAAAATATGAGCAATAATGTTATCTCTTTTTTTTTAATTCCCCAAAATGGAAGCACTTTCCAGTACAGACAAAATGAAAAGTGCCTCAATTTTGGGTAATAATGTTATCTCTTCTAAAATAATTCCAAAACTACACTAAAAAGTACAGGAATAACTTTGGCCTCAGAATTAATCTTCAATAAACTCATTTTATCTCATTTCATATGCCTTGTGAATACTGACGTATCAATATCAGGGAAAAAGTTAAAAAGGCACTGGATTCATTTACTCAATAGCCAGATGTGCCTGATTGCAAAAATCCATCCAAAGGTCTAATATATCATCATATTTCCTGTGAGTATATGAATAAGGAGTATATTTATGTATGAATAAAAACTTGGTTTGTGTACTGAAGCTTATAAGATTAAATTTTTTTTTTATATTTTAGATTCAGGGGATACATATGCAGGTTTCTTAACTAGGTATATTGTGTGATGCTGAGGTCTGGGGTAAAAATGATCCCATCGCCTAGGTACTGAGTATGGTACCCAGTAGTTTTTCAACCCTTGTCCATTCCCTCCATCCCCTATCTAGTAGACTCTAGTTTCTATTGTTGCCATCTTTATGTTCATGAGTATCTAGTGTTTACCCCCGACTTATAGGTGAGAACATGTGGTATTTGATTTTCTATTCCTGTGTTAATTTACTTAGGATAACGGCCTCCAGCTGCATCCATGCTGCTGCAAAGGATATAATTTTGTTCTTCTTTATGGTCACATAGTACTCCATGATGTATATGTACCACATTTTCTTTATCCAATTCACCACCAATGGGCACATAGGTTGATTCCATGTCTTTGCTATTATGAATAGTGCTGCAATGAACATGTTGAGTGCACATTTCTTTTTGGAAGAATGATTTATTTTTACTTTTGGATATATCTCCAGTAATGGGATTGCTGGGTTGAATGGTAGTTCTGTTTTGCATTCTTTGAGAGATCTTCAAACTGCTTTCTATAGTGGCTGAATTAATTTACATTCCCAACAACAGCATATGAGTGTTCCCCTTTCTCCACAGCATCTCCAGCATCTGTTGTTTTTTGACTTTTTTTTAATAATAGCCATTCTGACTGGTATGAGATGGTGTCTTGTAGTTTGGATTTGCATTTCTCTGATGATTAAGTGATTTAGAGCAGTTTTTCATGTTTGTTGGTTTCTTGAACGTCTTCTATTCAGAAGTATCTGTTCCTGTCTTTTGCTCATTTTAATAGGGTTATTAGTTTTTTGCTTATTGATTTAAGTTCCTTAAAGATTCAAAGGAACAAAGGATATTAAACCTTTGTCAGATACAGAGTGTGCAAACATTTTCTCCCATTCTGTAGGCTGTCGAGGCAGAAGCTGGTTCATTTAATTAGATCCTACTTGCTAGAACATGGCCTAAAGGTGAATCTGAAGGGGTGAAAACCTTTTGTTAAGACTCCAGAAAGATGATTAATACCTCATGGTATTAATCATTTATACTAAGAAAGTATTTTAAAAAGATTAAGGACTCACAGATCCTCTCAAACAGACCTAGAAAGCTTGAGGGTGTTGACCTCAATATCGCTGCAGAAGCCCATATTTTGAAAAGATTTTTGGGTGTGGCTTTTATCTAATGGAATGAACACCAGTGAGATTCACAGAAGGCTGACAAAGGTTTTAGACAATTATATCAATAAACATTGCCAACTTAGACTGAAGGGGACAGTGCCAATACAAAGTGAAAAGAGACCACTGGACCCTCAGAATTCTACCGGCAGGAAGCAGGCTGAGAAAACTACTTAGCTGTAAAGATATGCTACGTTTCATAAAAAAGGAAGAATGATTTAGAGGGTGGAACCAGTAGCTCAGTGGTCGAAACTCAGAACCACGAAGAATTATTCCTAGGCCTTGAGATCTAATCAAAGAACCTTCAAGATTTGCCCACCTGAATTTGAAAATCACTATGGATCAGTGACTCCTTTGTGCCTCCCATTTCAACAGGAAAGTCCATAGTCATTATTCAATGCCTCCACTCTATGGTGTGTAGGTAATGTGTGGTGTGTGTGTGTGTGTGTGTGTGTGTGTGTGTGTGTTTGGGAGGTGGATAGATAACTTGTCTCTTTAGTTCACCAGTCTTCAGATTCATACCTGAGGAGCTTCATTTTCACCTGATTTTGATGTAGAGATTCTGGTCTTTCAGCTGATGTGTGATGGGCTGATACTTTTGGGAACTTTGGGAGGAAGAGAGTGTATTTTGCATGTAGGAAGGACATGAATCACTAGGGGGCCAGAGGACATAGTGGCTATCTAAAACCTCATAGGATATCCAGAAAGATGCACACATCACAAGTTAAAAATCAGTCTGTATTAATAATTTTAATATCCTAAATGGACAGCATTATTTAGGTGCCACAGCACTTAGAGGAAAGAGACCAAAATGACCTAGCTTGGACAAGGAGGTTTAGTCATATAGAAGGTATCACTTGAGCTGAAACTTGAAATGTTAGTAAAATGTTAATATGCTGAGAAAAAAATTCCTGGGAAAAGATATCATATAAGCAAATGTAAAAAGGCAAAACTATATATACTATGTTTAAATAATGCAGATCAAATAGGCTGGAGCAATGAGGCAAGTCTATGAGGACAGGAATCACGTCTTTGTTATGCAGCTTCATATCTGGGAACTTAGCACAGTGCAGAGTAAACATTATTATTTTGTGAACAAATAAAAAGTTTGGAAAAGTAGGTAAATAGCAACCTGTGGTAGACCCACAGAGTGCTAAATCTACTGACTATCCTACACCAAAAAAGTCAGTGAAGAATTTCAAGATAGATAAAAATACAAGAAAACCATGCTTTAAGGAGATTTACCTAGTGTGAGACAGTGGGCATTCCACACTCAGCATTCTCTTTACTGCTTGCTGTGGTCTGCATGTTCACTGGAAACTTGGTCCCCAATGCAACAATACTGTAAGGTGTGGGACCTTTGGGAGGTAATTGGGTCATGATGGCTCTGCCCTCATGAATGGATTAACCCATTCATGAATCAATGGATTAAAGGGTCACTGAGGGAGTGAGTTAGTTATCACAAGAGTGAGTCTGCTATAAAAGCCAGTGTGGCTGTCTCTCCTGCAGCCTCTCTCCATGTGAGGCCTGTGTCACTTCATGACTCTACAGAGCCCCTATCAGCAAGAAGGCCCTCACCAGATGCAGCTTCTAGACCTCAGACTTGTCACCCTCCAGAACTGTAATATATAAACTTTATAAATTACCCAGTCTCAGGTATTCTGTTATAGCAACAGAAAACAGACTAAGACACTGTTTTACCTCCTGAACAATAAAAGATGAAGCAGACAGGTCCCTGATATTTGTAACTTTATTAATAAAGAACTATGATAAAGTTTTATAGTCATTTAGCTGGTGAATCCAGTCACCCACTCATCAAGGCAATAGAGCTTTATTGTTTTACACTAGTCTTTAATAATGCAATAAAAATTTACTTTCTTAAAATAAAAATATGGTCTTTCTCAAAATGCCAATCATTAGTGCTTGTCATGAAAGTGAGAAGGTCTTGAGAAAATAATGATTCTTTGAGCCAGAAAATAGAATTTTTATATCTATATAAAATGAGGATTTGTTAATTATAGTGGGACCTATAGAGTCTCAGATAACATTGTTCTTGAATGTTAGAATGCTACTGTATACTGAAAGCATACTGGAGCAACAACAACAAAAACACCCATGGAAATAAGGCATCGTTTCAAATATTGTATAGTTATAAATAACACTCTAAAATATTTTTGTCAATTCTAAATAAAACAGTAAATACCTATTTTTAACTCATATCAAAATATTTAGAAAATCTCTACCATAAACAGAAATATTACAGTCATTAGAAAACACAAAATGGCTTATCTTATCTCAAATACATAGTGGAATAAAGTAGTATATTTAAAAGTATACAAAGCAATAAAATGGGCAGTATTAGCAAAATTTTCTATATTTTGGTTTCACCTACTCCATCTCCAATCACTGAAAATTATAAATTAATTATTTGAGAGAAGTAATCTTAGTAAAAGCTTCTTTCCAATAAAGCAGACACCAGATGGTCTGTAATAACTATGTGTGCTTACCCTACTCTCAAGTTATATAGCTTTTCCACAAATCCTGGTATTTAAGAAAACAGATCATTTTTCTTAGTTTGTAATCCTTCATTCTAGCATGGTCAGAGGAAAAAAAATGTAATCACTTTAAAGATAAACATTGGTTTATTTTTCTTCATCAAAAGAA